AATTTAATGGAATTTAATGGATGCTAAATTTTCATCTATTTCCCTTTTTGCAGCTTTGAATATTCTTATTCATAAGATGTTATAATGAATACAATTTTTACTTACTTTAATAATATGTTTGTATAATAAATGTGATAAAATATAAACCATAAGCAGGCTTTTCAGCAGGCTGAAATGTGATTTCTGGCCGTTTCAGGGGAGGGTCAATCACATATTAGAAAATCGTAATTTACAGAATGTTACCCTAGTTTTCAGGAGGCTGAAACATTTCTTCAGGCCGTTTCAGAACAAGTATAGTCTAGTGGTACACTTTTCAGGAGACCCGTTTTCAGGCGTTTCAGGCCTGGTTATACCCTTTTGATGAAGGAATATTCTAGAACGAATTTCCTAGGTGTGGGACAAGGACGGTATGATGCGCGAGAGAGAGGGAAGATCGGAACCTTCTCGAAGCTAGACCGAGCACTCTAGAACGCCGTACGACAAGGACAGAGCAATCTGCGAAAGAGATAGCGAGTACGCACGTTCTAGAATTGTGCGATCGCTACTCAGTAGCGCTCCCGCCTAGAGGGTTCTCGAACATCGTTCCCAGGGATATATAAGCGAGCCGGTTAGTTCAGTTTTGAATGCGATATCAAGAGATAAACACCGAAGTGATAAAGTGCGAATATAGTGAAGACAAGCGATAAAGTACTGTGTGAAGTGTGTGTAATTAAAGTAATTAGCGACAGTATTTTGTGTTTGTGTAATCAGTGGGCTTCTGTGCGTAATTTCCAGTTTTTAGAGTATACAAATTCCTCGTAGATTTAATTAAAAATAAACCCTTGAATAAATCTACGGCGTTTTCTATCCGAACCCCTAGCTCGTAACTATATGTTTGTATAAGCTTTTGAGTTTTGATGTTGCGTTATTTGAATTTTTAATTTCTAAGTTCAAATATTATTGATGTGTAGGTGTAAGCTTGTAATTTTATATTATTCTCTTATTTTTAAGCACGCATGTTGTTTTGGGACATATAAATAATGAAATAAAGTAATAATAAAAAATAAACGCCTAAAAAATTAATCCAAGCAATCCGATTTAGAACCAATATTACATTCCCAAGAGTGTTAGGCGATGTTATCGCTTTCTACGTGATTTGAGCTCAATTTCTTGATTAAACCATATAAGCTAGCCACTATCTGTGGTTTCATTCCAGGTGGAAATGTATTTTTGGTGATAAAATTTAATTTTAATGTCTAAGCGGAATTTTTATGAAGTTTTAAGTTTCACCTTTATTTAGTTTTTCGCTTTCATTATTTGATAAGTTTCCCATGATCACATTGTGTATCAATTTGTTTTTTGTATTTTTAATAAACAGCAATTTAAAAATAGCGATTTGTAAACAATTAACGCAATTAATGAAAAGCCGTGGTAAGGGATTTTCTTTAATATAACGCAATATTATTAATTTAAGTCAAACATTACCTCTGGAAGAGCTCATCCATGCCAACTATGGACAAGCAATGTGGCTGTTCCGGAAAAGCCGAGCGAAATAAATTACGAATAAAAAAGTTAAAAGTGTAATTTAAAGGCTGTTTTTTCATAGAAGTTCAAATTTATCTATATTAGATTTTTTTTAATTGTTTTGCTTTTAAACGTTTTTAAACAAATTTGGTACTTTAAGGTTTTGGAGGCTGATTACCTACTTGCCTATTAGATTTAAAAATGATCATAAAACAGATCCAGAAATCTGAGGCCAAGACCTAAAGAGGTTGTAGCGCCACTGATTTATTTTAATTTTTTGATTATGAACGGTGAAGGGTTTTCTTTTCTCTTATTAGTTTTTTTTAATGTTTGAAATAAGGTACATTGTTTTGTATTATAATCTAACGTAATTGTCTCTCTTTTATAATATATTTAATTATTGATACTTACCAACACAAATACTATACAATGAAAATGTAATGTTTACTGTTAAATTTGTACAGGTTTCCACTTATATTAAAGTAATTGTTATAAAAAGGAATAAGCCATTCATAAAATTTCATTGTAGTCTTGCATCTCACATTACTCAGCATCAGTTCATAGCTCGCTACGCTGCTACGACACGCGGACGCGTCGTAGACTATCTACGCGGTTTGTTTCGTTACGACGATTTTACGAGGGCTATATTAATAAAAGTTTGAATACGTGCTATAATACAGTTAGACATATTATGTCTAACTGTATTTAATGTGTGAAATGTGATTATTTTAAAATGAATAAAACAGTAGACTTTTGGGATTACTTTAATATGGATTTCACGATTAATTCAACTGAAGTTGTGGATTCAGTGCCAACTGCGGAACAGGAGTTTGTTGTTGGAGTGTATAGTGTTTTGTTTATTATTGGTTCTATGGGCAACGTTGCTGTGTTTATCGCTCTGATTCGGTCAAGGCGTAGGAAGTCCAGAGTTAACTTGTTAATGACTCATTTAGTCGTGGCTGACTTGATTGTCACGTTTATTGTTATTCCATTAGAGGTATGTACTATAATATTTATATTATTTCAATCCGCTTTTTCGTTGTATTATTAAGCTTAGTTTGACACTCTTAATAAATGTATTTAAAAATTAAATAAGTTTGAAATTAAATAAGTCCAACAAATTATTATTTATTGTTGTGTATCTATTATGTTGCAAATTGTAAGCTCGTGATTTTGTGATACAATAATATGGTATGACTTACTGATTATTAAAAAAGAAATTTAATAGAAATAATTACCTAAGAAATATTGTTAACATCACTAATTATCAATTTTACATATAAATCAGTAGGAAGTTTTTTATACAAAGCTTAGATTTAAACGTTTTCATAGATGTTCAATGATTAAAATTACTAGTATGCTTCGCTTGGCACAAGGAAAAAATCATTGTAAATGGATGATTTAAGATAACTGATTCCCAAAATAGGTCATTTTTGGCATGCAAGTGTTTATTTTCCCTGCGATACATTATTACATGAATTATATTTTAAATTTGCTTATTTATTTTCAACACATAAATATAGTATTTACAATATTGTTAACGAACATATTAATAATAATAATTTAAAATAGATAAATATAAATTTAAACAACTCAAAAAGTGGCTATGGTATACCTTTTAATGCTGGCACAAATGGTGCTGTATTGCGATACTTATTCGTTGAGCGAGGAAAGCACCAGCTCTTAGGTCACCAGTATTATATACCAAGCACCAACTTAAATCTTAAAGCGCCTCTGCACTCCTAAATGAAGGCTGATGGCAATTTGAAGTGATTCAGGGTCCAAAAGGATGCCAGTGTTTGGCGAAGGATAAGTATTAAACCCTTGCCTTCCCTAGACCCCACTGCCAACAAACTTAAGCGATTTTGCATCTTATAAATCCATATTCTCGTAGTTAGTAAAATAAGATCTAAAGATTTTACCTACCAGACTGATAGATTTGTGAGCAGATAAAGAGAAACGCTGCTACACGTGTTATCATGCGTACCTACTCCTAATCCGCCAAAGCGAGCTTGATTCCAAGATGTTTTTAAACGAACGTTTAAAATAGATTCCAAAGTAGTCTTTAAAATATTATCCAAATCCCGTAATATTAGGTACTTACATATGAAATTGGCGTTTTGTATGGGAGGAACAAAAAGTCGAATATATCTAAATATAATATATTTAATTAATCAAAGTATGAACCATTGTTTTCTATGCACTTTTGCCATCTCATAGGTAGTTCATTGATCCCTTTACTAAACAAACCAGTCGGACGGGAATCAATAAAATCTGTGAAGGCGATTTGGACTGCCCCATCAGAGTTAAATTTTTTCCCTTGCAAGAAGTTGTCCAAATTTCGAAAAAAATGGTAATCTGTTGGAGCAAGGTCCGGGGAGTACGGAGGATGTCTTAGACATTCCAATTAAAGCTCTTCTAATTTGGTAGCCGTCTGTTGTGCAGTGTGGTCTAGCGTTGTCTTGAAGTAGCAGTGGCGTGGAGCGATTGACCAGCCTAGGTTGTTTAGCCGCTAGCTTTTCCATCATGGTTTGTAATTGCTGACAATAGACATCAGCCGTAATAGTCTGACCAGATTTGAGAAAACTGCAATGAACAATACCGGCACTAGTCCACCAAACGCTTACAAGTAACTTTTTTGGGGTTAATTTTCGCTTGGGGCAGGATTTGGCTGGCTGGCCAGGATCCAACCATTGCGCTGAGCGCTTCCGATTATGGTAAAGAATCCATTTTTCATGACAGGTAATGATTCGGTTTAAAATACTTTCATTATTGTGCCGGTTCAGTAATGTAACGCAGCAGTCGACGCGCGTTTGCCGGTTTGCTTCAGTCAATTCGTGAGGTAGCCTTTAATACTTCATTATCAACTTGGATCTCAGGCCTTCCACGGGGCTTGTTCTGCAGGTCGAAATTTCCAGAACGAAAACGTTGGAACCAAAAACGAACTGTGTTTTCCTTTGCAACATGAAAGAGGAGAACATCGTGATCAAAGTGGCCAATACGAAATACGCCAATTTCATATGTAAGGACCTAATATAACGGAATGATTCCATTGAGGGAAAGCCTTTGTCAGAATATAAAGCAGCGAACAAGTTTTTAGAGATGTCAACTTTTTTTTATTGCTATGTTACAGACTTAAAATTTATAGTTAACTAAATTCTGCCCAAGAAGGTCTCCTTTTTGACAATCTCCTCCCCCAATTTTTTTTTTTTTTTTTTTTTTTTTTTTTTTTTTTGTTCTTTTTTTTTTTTTTTTTTTTTTTTTTTTTTTTTTTTTCCCCCCCCCCTTTTGTCAACAAAAAGAATGCGCATTACCCAGCGCCAACTTTAGCGACACTCCATTTTTCGTCAACAAAAAGAATGCGCAAAGCGCGAATAGCGACCTTTAGTGCCATAGCTAAGTTAAGTTGCTTTAAACAATTTGTTCAATTTATTAATTTTTAATTATATATTTTACTGCAATTTTGGAGGATAATCTACGAAAAGTGCTTCACATAGCAATTGTCCTCACCCCACCATCTTTTTTGGTAAGAGCCACCAAGTTTGCCCCATATTAGTTAAAAATTGAATTATTATTAGTTATAAAAATGAAAGTCTAGACGCTTGATTCTAAGTAATTTTCACCTATTGAAACAAAATAAATACATTCAACATAGAAACTGACATTGAAAGTGTTTATTTCGAAACATGTCTTATACAATCTTTCCAAAGGGGCTTAATAATCGTATATTTAGTTCTGACTAAGCGATATTTTTATTACTTGAGAAAACGGTTTGCCAATTTTTGTATACAGTGATATATTCGCGTCTTTAATAATTTTCTTTTATACACAAATAGTTGTTCAGCCAACGACGTTTTTTGGGTCTTAGACATTAAAGATATCAAAAACCAAGTCTGATAATGTAGATCACTTACACTTATTATAACCTCATAAAAGTGCGGTTATTGCAAACGTGACAAACCATTGATAGTTCTCTTGAATATAATTTTTTGTTTAGCTAGAGTGATTGGTGAAAGAAAACCACGTCCACGTTTAATCGTTTACTTTGAGGTCAAATACCTTTAAAAGAGTTTTTGTAATTTTTGATTCCTCTTTGATCATCAAAAATGTCAGGTTTCATAAGATACTGAGTTTCAAAGAATTTTGTTGAACAAATATAATGCGAGATCATCATTCTGTTAAGATTTTCTACGAAACGTAAAGTAATTGTATATACTGTAGGTGAAATTAAAAAAAAATAGCATAAATATAGGATAAGTAGCAAAATAACACATACTTAAGTGAGATTGTGTGAAATTGAAATATTTGAAGGTTTAATCGATACCTGGATGTGAAAAGGACTTATGCATATATTTATTATGATCATTTATTAATTAAAAATATTTAATGAATGATGATAATAAATTCAACGTTGTTAAGTTATCGGGAAGTTTTTTGGGCTGTTAAGCCTAGCCAAGCAAGTATTTGTAATACACACTTTTTAATTTTGTGGAGAGTAATCCAGAATTTCATTAGAGAGCAGTGTTGGCCTAGTGGCTTCAGCGTGTGACACTCATCTCGGATGTTGCAGGTTCCATCACCGACTGTTCTCCTATGGACTTTCTTTCTATGTGATTCATCGTGAGGAAACCGACTTGCCTTAGGCCCTAAAAGTCAACAGCGTGTGTCAGGCACAGGCACAGCTGATCACCTACTTGCCTAGTAGATTGACAGAGAGAAGTAGGGAAGGGAATGACGGGTCTGGGCGTTACTGCATACGATTTTTTGCATTTTCTGAGAAGATTTACTATGGTAATATATATATATTTTTACCATAGGAAAGTAGAGATTTCAACGAACTGAAAGCACACCAACTTTTTGAAAAAAGCTGATATTTTGACGGGTGAATTTTCGATTGAAAATTAGGGTGTTTTTTCGATATGAGTTCAAAATAAGGTGAAAAAAATAAATATTTTTAATAAAATAAATTACAGCGTATTTGGGACATAGAAAGGTAAGTTTTCACCAAATATCGTTAAACAATTTTTTTGTAAAAGATAAATATTAAAAACCAAATACTTGGTTTTTTTAATTTTTCACATAAATTTTGAGGTTATGTGAAAAATGTGTGAATACAAAAGTTTTAGATCTTTTTATTACCTACAACTTTGCCATTTAACTTTCTTCGATAGGACTTTTAGTTTTGCCGGAAATCGAGATAAACCGTTTTTTACCCTTAAAACTGGCATTATTGTTTTGTGCCGTATGTGTGGTTTTGAATTCGTATAGTAGACAGACAGTAGTAGGACAAAGCACATAATAGAAATTCAGTCTCATATTTTATTCATTCCTATTTAAATCTTATCGTGAGCCCTTAGATAAAATGAAACCAACACCTCGGGATAATGCTCAAAGTTTAATAATTATCATTCAGAAAGTTTGTATCGGACTTTATAGCGCTCGACCATTAAATGGATACACTTTAATAATAAACCCACTCACAACTCAATTTTAAAATCGGAACCCAATAACGAACAAAATAAATCAACTGATAAAAGGCTGATCGTAACTTAATAAAAATAAAAATTGGTTTTATTTTTCGTAACTTCAGCGCTCGTTCGGTGCAATGAAATTCAATTGAGCCGAGGCCTGAGGTCCGATTTAATCATGCGGTCCTGGTACGATTCATGCCGTTTATCTGACATTTCAGTAACTGCGACACTACTTTTACGTGCAACATAACAAATTGTTATCATTTTGTCATGAAGGAATATGTTTCAAGTGGCGAAAAAAATTATAATTAGATAATATCTATTGAGTAGTGAAGAGAGATTCTACAGATATAACGCATGAATAAACTAATCCCTTTTTCTTGATATCATTATCTTTAATTAAAAGTGGGCGTTCTCTAGGGGCGCACACTGATATTTAACCATTGCTGACTATCGTAAATATTCTGAGGGAGACGTAATGGTTAAAATTATATAATATCTAAATATCAATGCAATTTCACAATGA